TCGTATCATATCCTAACTGCTATCTCCACACTTCGAGCGAGTCTCCTAAAGTCGCGAACGAAACCTTGACGCGTCCCAATCTGCAAAGTTACACCACAAACTGGACGTTTGAAGACAGGTCATATTCTTTTATTAGGTGCAGACATTGTAAACGTTATCGGCATTCTGGCGCAGATTCGGGAATATTTTGTTTTAAGCGCCTTCGGTGTCTAAATATATTTTTTGCCTAACATTGTTCACTTATGGACATAAGCACTACTTCGAAACGTCAAGTTTCTCTCAAGTACAACCATTGATTGCTTAATGATGTCGTTAAGCCCATACATCCTTGTGGTACCTGAAGGTCATTATTTTCCCCACGAGAGCTCAAGGACCACCCTGTCATGCTGTCACCGCCTACCTAGATCCTATGTCAGCTTAGTATTGACAAAATACCTGTCATCGATAATGCCGATGAACGGCACCAGATGCGCCGGCCGCGACGCCACCATACTACGCCATGGATACCTCGGTTTGGCACGTTTAAAGAGAGAGAGCATTCCAGATGGCTGTCATCAGGTCAGCACAGGGCTTCTAACACACATCTTGCAACTTCACGGCGCTGGTCCACACGCTGTATTGGCGTGAGGTCGCCGATGCGGAGGGTGCTGCAACCACTGACCCGGCCCTCTAACCACACCCCGGCGAAATACGCTGGGTTCGCCGACAGGTGGCGGCCACGTTGACGGCCTAGAGAGGGCCCTGCTGCAACCCTCTGCAGTGCCCCATTGACGAGGCGGTGACTTCGGTTTTTGCAGCCACGAAGAATCTGGTGCGTTGAGAGGATTTGGGTGAAGTCCACGGAATAAAGCGCCCGGTGCATATTTTATCGGGCAGCTAAAACTCCTGCAATGCTACCAAACACCCAGATTTTGAATATGATTGGCACCCCAATTCCAGACCCATTGCGCATTCTAGGAACCGACTTAGCCCGACACACGACTGAAACCAAACTTATGACCATCCTATTCTGGTTCCGGAAGCTGCGGTGGCCTTCGTCTTAATGCAAAGCATGTCAAACGTCCCAGCAAAGATGTTCACTGAACTGATACAGGACTACGCCAGTCGCACAATGGATGAGGGGAGCCGCTTGCAGATGCTTCTACTGATCGAAGACAAATTGCCCGGAGTTCATTCAAAGGCCTTGACTGGAGTTTATTCGCTCACACTACGCGGCCGCACGAGTGGAGAATGCTGAAAAATATTGGTGAAAACAGGGTTGCCGCTAAGATCACCCCCTGATGGATTGGTCGGCCTCACTGCTGTCCCCTCGAGAGGCCAGTGGTTGGTTCTGGGCCCTCTTCTACTGGCATGTAGGCGACGCGCGACTGCTCTGCTCAGGAGGACAGCTGGCTGCAACGCTGTCACTCCCAGCCGGCCCCGGTCCGGTCGGCTAGCCCGCCGAGGAGACTGACTCGTCGCTGCGGCGCCGACTCTTCCCAGCCGCCAGATCCTCCCTCCCCCCCCCCCTCCCAGCGCTCAGCACGCGCGAAGCGGCGGCCAGCCGCTGATCGATGCGTTTAACTCACGCTTGATGACCCCAGATTGTGCTCGGAGGTCACCTCAGCCCAGCCAAGTGTCGCCAGGGCGGAACGATGCGACGGGGTTCGGACACCACCGCCTGCTCCCCCCCCCCCCCCCGGCCCGGGAGTCGGAGCTGCCAGCGGCGTCGATTTCCAACAGACCCGGCCGAGACTAGGCTTAGTGCGGTAGGAACGAGCTGAAGCTGAAAATTGGGGTCAGGAGAAACTAGAAGGCAACTCGATGAAGTGGAAACGGAACGAGGATCTTGCGGCTTACGGAGCTCCGCCGAATGGTTAGGTCCGGCGAACAAAGCCCTTGGATTTTGATGCAATCAAGTTTCCGCAATTGTTTGCCACCGATGATGGCGACATTATATAAGTACGGATGGCGGTCTATGGAATCTAGTATTCTGAGCCATCCTAAGCATTTTTTGAAAGCGAGTTGATTGGAACGGTAAAGACAAATGTTAACAAGAAAACGGACAAAAATAACCGGATGCATGTTGCTAAAAGACCTCACATAAGACCACCATTCCCTTAAACGCACGACCCCTGATAGAAAAGTTGATTAGATCATGCGATTAAATAAAATTGGATCGCTCCAGCATAGCAATTGAATATATTCCAGTAGAATTGACAGATCTGAAATCTGTCAATTTTGAAAACCAGGCCGCGGCCGAACGAGCGATGGTCCTTTAAACTGGTTGAATGCAATTGAGCCGACACCTAACAGAAACACTGTTGCAGAGGGAATAAGCCTAATGTGACTGGAACATGTCGGACACAATCATGAATTTGGTGCTGTTGCAGAAAATCGCCGTCCCGATTAGAGATATAACTTTTCGGCCCGCAAGTCCGCCGAATTTCTGACGTGCATGAACCCGCGGGTTTTTGGCTGGGTTATGCGCCAGACTTGGCGGGTTTTTGCGGATCAAAAATTTTAGCGCACAAACTAATGCATCTTTAGCTATTTCTTAAGTTCTAAAATTATCTCAAAACCAAAGCGTGCTGCAAAATACAAAACAATCATGAAAGAAGCGTATTTTTACGGCAAGAGCACCAGTGGCAGAAAGTCAGTGACAGATATAACACACCAGTAAATCAGGTTGTACAAATTCCACAGCTTCAAGCAAACGTCTCATTAAAGAGTTTAAGAATAGCAAGCCAAATTTTCAAAGCTGTAGCCTGATTTCATTGAGCGATAGTTAGGTGGGTCCTCAATATAAATACAGTGCACACTGCACTCGCCTACTCTTGTGAGGATGTGGCGCACTCAGCCTTTCTTAGTTTACACAAAACAATATCTCACAAATCACAATCCATATCCATGATAAGTGAAATGCATATAAAACTGTGAGCGTTTCGTTGCCCTAGCTTTACTAGCTTGTCAATACAGCCAGCAGTTATTGGCGTATCAAATGTGAGACAGTTGTCGAAACTGAAAAAGTAGAGTTTGTTCGAGTTTGATAGAGTTTGTTTAGCTTCTCCGCAGAAAAGCAATTTGCGACAACGACTACAGGGCGCTTACACGATACGGTTTCCCTTGCTGCGATTGTTGCTATTTTCAATTTTTGGCGCGAAGGCTTTTATTCCGTCTGATTTGTTTTTTTTCGATATTGTGTCTGCATGTAGTTCTAAGTAAACAAAAACTCATCTCAACACATGACGCCAATGCGACATTCAATAAAAATCAAATGTGGCAGTCTGCAGGTTTTATAAACTGTAGAAAATGCTCCTGGAAATTATCACAACAAATTTTGTTTGTTTTCATAGAAGCTTTTCAGCAGCATGCAACAATATGCCACATATTTTGATGGCATTGCTAAATGGCAATTAAGCCACAGGAGGGACAAATACTTGTGGATAAAATATCATTGCCATCCTTGCTTTCACATGACTTTCACGTAGCATAACACAAACCACGCAGCGATGGTCGTGAGCTGGAACGTGATGGTGATGAGAGGAAACGTGGATCATTTCAAAGCTACCATTTGGTTTTGTATGGTGTGGTTGCATAATGTATCCACCCGAGGGCAGCAAACATCATATATAAGGTTGCCTCTGGTTCTCCAATAAGAAATTTGACATTGTGACAATTGTGATGCAGTCGAATGATGACTGAGCTGATGCAGGTGCATTGTAATGAACTGACACTTCTCATGGCTCGAAACATTCAGTATAGTTTACACTGTCAGTGCAAAGCTATCAATTGACGCGTGCAAGGTTTAGAATAAATGGTCTGTAGTTTATTGAGATCATGTAAAGGGGTCTTGTGTTTGGAACCAATCTTTTGAGCATTTTGGTGACAGACATATTTCAGTTCCATTCTTTTGCTTCTCACGTGTAGTTGAAAACTGCTATCACGGTGTTCAGGATCTACTTTGGCGCACTATAAATTATATTTTGCAGGTATTTAGGTTCTCGCTCTTTGAGAAGCATCACCGGCGTTTGTCAAACGATGCTATGCATTAAATGACGCTTACATGACATTTGATGTACGCTTTGATGCATAGGCCTAAAATTAAGATGAAAGAACAAAATCTATGTTGCAATAAATCAGCACTTGCGGGTTAATGGCGGATCAGTACTGCAGCCTAGCGGGCTCTTGAGGACTGCATCAGAAGTAAGGCGGGGCCGGCTGGGCTGTGGGCTGATATGTCCGACAAACTTGCGTCTCTAGTCCCCATCAGTCAGGTGGTTAGAGAGACTTCCTTCCGATTCAGTCATCCGTGGTGAGATGAGTTCGAGTCGCTAAGGACGCTCGTTATTTGCCACTTCTGGGATGGCATGTGACCAGCGGCAGCGGCCGCACAAAAAGTCAGGTGACGTTAGAGGGTAGGACATGGACAGCCGTGCCGAGCATTGCGATACGTTGCATTTTCGCATCAAGATTCTGTCTTTGATCCAGAATATCGAGATATGTTGAGGCAGGAAGGGCGGGGGAAGGCCAAACGCAATAAGGAATGCTAAGCGTGGGCGGAGATTACAGAAATTCATCCGTCACAAGTTTCGGACTAAGTATTTTAAAAACGTGGCAATATCACTTGCCGCGATCAGTTCAATCGATGCGAGAGATAAGTCCAAGATCTTAACCAATGCCGTTCGTGTTCATTGAGATGATAATACCGACTACAGAGCAGAGAATCATTCCGTGTTGCAGCGGATCCTTGCCTTATTTGCAACAATTTGTGGTTTCTGTGGACAGACACGCGCAAGGGTGGAAACACTGAGAGAAGTTGATGTGGCAAGATTTCAGTAGTCCTTCATTGCATCCGGTAATGGATCCCATCAAATGGGTCCAATGGGGCACTTATGTAATGTTGAAATTATGACATTGCATTGCGAGTCGTAACCACTGCCACAACGGCAAATCTGCATTTTTCTTCATGAAAGCGCTCATATTGCACAGGAGGAATGCACACCATATGCAACACATACCTTGACCTGCTCCGACTGTGCCAGAAGCGTGAAGACTGCCGCAATCTGCTGGAACCGATTCAAATGAACAACGACGAAAGCGCCTTCCAGACGGCTCGCCGTCACATCCTGAAAACAAGTTCGTCATCGTCATCGTCATCATCGTCACGTCATCTGTGTATGGTGCTGGAACAAGGACATCCAGCAACAAGAACAAAGGGGTTTAAATGGCGTCTTGCAGAACTTCAGTTTCACTGCGTCTGATGCTACAATCCCGTACTGAGGAAACTTGTTAGAGTTGTGGGAAAAGACACTGGCACAAAATCGAAAGGGAAAACCTAAATGAAAACACGGAAAACAAACTTTGATTCCCTGAAATTTTCACTTTAGTGTCTTATATAAGTGCTCTAATTTCATTTGCACGCGTCGGCGTGGCAAAGTTCAACCAAACGGCACTCGGGGACAGCAACTCAATGCGAATAAAACGGCCGAGTCCCACCCCACTTCAGCGCTTTCAAAAATGTCCCGGGCACTCCGAAATCCAACACCGGCGCAACGCGAGCCGGCCCGCCCGAGGAGCAGCCGGGGGGCTGCCACTCTGCGGCCCGACCTGACCTGGCCGACAATGTTGTGCAGGAAGAAGCGATCGAGCGACAGCGGCTGCTTGTGGACGACGTAGCGGACGGCAGCCTCGTGGTAAGCAGAGCCGCGGCAGTGGTGGCCGCTCCAGCCGTCGGTGATGGACGACTTCTGTCGACAGAGAGGGTCCAGCCGTACAGCCGCCGCGCCCGGCCAATCCAGCGAGCCGGCCCGGCCGCGCGCTCGTGGCGCGTGCCAGAGTTAACGCGTTGGTGATCAGAACTTTGCGGGATCAGATTGACTTGGGTCGGTGCTGATTTGCCTGAGAGTCGTATGTCGTGTGGCAGCGCAGTCGTACCTGGTCTAAGCTTCTTGTTATACGCCGTTTCTGACTGAATCTGGCACAGTCGCTCCCCTCTCAGAGAATATTTTACCTACTGTGGCACGTCCCGCTTCATTGGAAGCCTTCATTTCACAGGAAAGAAACTTCATTTTGACAACAGACCTCCACAAGATTAACGGTCACAACTTACTTAGTTCCACCGCTTGACCCAGCAAAGTGATGAATGTTTGTTTTCAGTTCCATGCGGCTCAAAACTAGAACGTGCTGAGTGGTGCTATAACACTGTGTTCGCACTGCACGAAAGGCGCACCTCAGCGGTTCCCCCAAAGCTGCATGACTGTCACGATCAGACATAGATCTCTGCGAATGTGTGGTGTGTGGGCATGCGCACCCGCGCTGCCTTCATGTCACCAGTGGCACAAACGCTGCTCTAGTCGACCGGCCAGGTTTACAGTTGCTCACAAGTCCAGAAGGAAGTGGTAAGTAGTAAAGTGACCATTGCAAGGGTGATCTGAGGCGATTCGTTAATAATGATGAAATGCTTGTTCTGAGTATTCGCGTTTGCACTGCTAATGGCGGATAGTAAGTCGAACAATTATTCGGTCTAGAAAAAATGCAAGCTAGGATGTGCCGCGCATGATCGCAATGTTCCTTGCCAAATTCGGCGCATTGCGTACTCGTATCTCGTTTCAGTTGTCGTTTCCGTTATTCGCCAATATAGCCTCTTGTTTATGATGGATTCCAATGCCGTGTAAACGTGTCCGATTCTTGTAGTATACCGCAGGGTATAAGATAAGTCTCGAACAATCTGGGACGTGCGGATCCCGCAGAGCGCCAACGCTCCAGACCGCCGCTGACGGCAACAGCACGCTGTCTTGCCAGTGTGTTAAGGCGGTCATTTTTGAGATTTGGGTGATCCTCGCCATTTCCCAAAAATATTTTTTTGCAGTTACAAAACTGGACACACGCAGGAACGATTTCCATTCTCCGCTGTTTCGTCGCCTCAAGCCAAGATTTTAACCTTGTGTTTGTGCTCGAACTTTTCGAAAATAACCGTAACTTCCTACAGTGAGTCGGAGGCAGGGATAAGTTCAGATCGCGACATCTTGTGGCCTGCAACTATCGTTTTCCAGCCCAACAGAGTTACGTCAGAAACGTTGAGAAGTCCAAAGATCCAGGCTCCAGCTCACGTGAAAAAGGTTTACTTTTCGATCCGACCTTTGCTAGGTGATGGCAATAACTCTCAGCCATGGCATGCCCCAAAGATGCCCGCTGTACATGAACATGGAAACAACACGTGGGCCTCTTTTAAATACATCCTTGGCGTTATCTTTGACGTGAGATGTACATGCTGTAATTAAGGATACCGACCACGCTCACGCCCAGTCACGGTGCCGTGATATTCATAATCTGCAACTCAGTCAGAGCTGAGTGGCCCTGGGAGCGTTATAATGCGATCGAGCTAAGTGCTTTCAATGCAATAATCCGGGAGCGATTCCATTAGACCGGCCATGTGCCACTGGTGGTGCAGCTGCCATTATGTGAGCAGCGGCTGGAGTGTGAGCTCACAGGACCGGAGCCAATAGCGATGGTGCTCAGTTATCCATAGAACTGACTAAAATGCACTGCACAATGGCAGCTCCTACAGCTTGTGCCCTGACAAAGGGGATCCAGCCTGTCAAAATGCATCACATTCAAAAACGTTTTACAACACAACTAGTGAAATCTGTGGTTCATACCACACCAACCATAACCAGGTGCTTTTACGGAGGCGGGTAACATGATAATGAGCACGAAAACGGGGCGAGGGCAGAAGTCGTCCCCAACTTCTGTCGGGCCTGGCATTTACGCTCCAACTCACTTACCCCACGGAGTTCCGGGACAAAGACAGTTCCCAGAGGTGATTTATCCCACACCACAGACAGGCTTCGTGACCTCCCGCAGCCCTGAGCCTGGCCTCACCCTGCTCCCAAGAGCAAGTGTCGTCCACACCTGACCGTCATTCAGCGCATCCAAACATATTACTGGATGCAGTCCATCTCACTTAGCTGGCTCCGCGACTGGGCACTCAGCGGTCGAGGGCCGGGCGGAATGGCGTCGTTAAGGGCTGCGCCGCCGCGACTGTAGCTTCCAGTGGTCCATTAAAACTTGCTCCGCAATCTCCGCCCAGCGCGTGGCGGCGCTACACTTCGATATAGCGTCAAGATATGGGGAGGCGCCCACGGTCAATCGATGCGGAGAAGTGGCCCGGTTAAGCTCTGTTCGGGTCAACCTGCTGGCCTGTCCCGCGCGGCGGGACGTGTCGCGCCCGAGACTGCCTTGCAAACTCGGAAACTCGGTCGTTATAAGTCAGGGGCGGTTTGGGCCTGAGACCGATCATCCTCGACTTGACCACGTTGATCCTACATCCTTGACGTACATTGGGATTGAAAATCATTATTGATCAGCCACTACTCTGTTGGAAAAGCGATTCCGTCAGAGGGCAGGGAGGAACGTATGCTAGCCGGTCAGGACGGGGCTCCGTACTCTTAAATCGACACTCTTTGACCACATCACTGCGGCCTCTGGGTAAGTAATCACTGTCTTGACTATCCTCATGGGAGAACGCTAGGTGCCAATGGGCTAAGCATGTAGTATACCACGTACGCAGATAGGCGTTCATTCAAATATCAATTCATGGCTTCAAACAGTGCAGATGCCAACAAGGTGTCCTTACATAGCTTGTGAATTTGGCACACAAAATCTGCTTTGGTTTTAGGGCCTTGAACCAGCTGTGGCTACCCATGGAAATATGTCAATTGTGTAAGCGTCTTTCCATCATGACCCACGGAACTGGCATGCAAACTTCTCTATGTGCGATATTTTCACACAAAAAACACTAGCAACATTATGTAAAAAGTCAATTGCATTTATATGACCAGGATAAGTAGCGCTCACTAGCAGCACGGGAAGGCCTCCACATGCCTGGACCTTCGGCCACCTTTCGTCCTGGACGGGGTATCGCCACGTGCTCGCGTCCACATGCCTGGACCTTCGGCCACCTTTCGCCTGGACGGTGTATCGCCACGTGCTCGCGTCCGCATGCCTGGACCGTCGGCCACCCTCGTCCTGGACGGTGTATCGCCACGTGCTCGCGTCCACATGCCGTATCCACGACAGCGTGTCGCTGTGCAAAGGCCCCACGTGACACTGATTACCAGCCGATGGCAAACAGTGTCATTGATCTGTGGAGCGGGCGCGGGTCGTTTCTGTCCGAGTCCAGAGAGGTCAGGGGCGCTGGCCATGGTCGGGCTGCTCTCATTAGTCTTGTGCCCGGCAAGGTGCGCCGGAATAGCAATTAGGTCCGGGGAAAGGTGCGCTCCCGGAGAAGGATTGCAGTCACTTATCCCCGACATCGCCGTTAGTTCAGTGCCAGCTGAAAATTGGGCTCATCGCTTGCAGGCCTGCGTTGCCGAGATGAGATCTCGGAGACTTTTCGGGCAATTTTCAAAAGGGGGAGGAAGAAAGAGTACATAAGCTAGAGAGAGAGAGAGAGAGAGAGAGAAGAGAGAGAGAGAGAGAGAGAGAGAGAGAGAGAGAGAGAGAGAGAGAGAGAGAGCGGAGAAGAGAGAGAGAGAGAGAGAGAGAGAGAGAGAGAGAGAGAGAGAGAGAGAGAAGAGAGAGAGAGCGGAGAGAGGAGAGAGGAGAGAGAGAGAGGAGAGAGAGATAGAGAGAGAGAGAGAGAGAGAGAGAGAGAGAGAGAGAGAGAGAGAGAGCGAGAGAGAGAGAGAGAGAGAGAGAGAGAGAGAGAGGAGAGAGAGAGAAGAGAGAGAGAGAGAGAGAGAGGAGAGAGAGAGAGAGAGAGAGAGAGAGAGAGAGAGAGAGAGAGAGAGAGAGGAGAGAGAGAGAGAGAGAGAGAGAGAATAGAGAGAGAGAGAGAGAGAGAGAGAGAGAGAGAAGAGAGAAGAGAGAGAGAGAGAGAGGAGAGAGAGAGAGAGAGAGAGAGAGAGAGAGAGATAGAGAAGAGAGAGAGAGAGAGAGAGGAGAGAAGAGAGCTAGAGAGAGGAGAGAGAGAGGTAGGAGTGAAGTACGCGGAGGATATAGAGGAGATGAGAGAGCGAGGGATGAGGAGGATTCGATACATAGAGAGGAATTAGATTTGAATGAGGAGATGGATGAACGTTCCACTGAAAGTGCAAGTGTGGACAGCATTAGAGACAGATGCACATATAGAGAGCTTCAATATGTTCATCTAGTCGCTTCTGTTCAGCGTTCCGCGCTGCGGTCCCTGAGCCTCGGCCGACCCGTTCGCTGGTTCTCAAACTTAGCGATGGGGCTATCCACGGCATGATCCTTTAGTTTGCTGCATAGGTCTCGGGCATGTAGCGGGTATGTCGCACGCAATACGGCATTGACGCGTAGTGCGTCAATTCAACTCAAACGCGTCAGGAGTGCGTGGAATTATCCCTATGCACCGATTCTGTGACAAAGGCTTAGCGGCCATTCAGTTGGGAGTTACAAAAGCAGAAAAACACCGCATTCACTGCTGCATCTTGAGCGATATGTTTCATTGCCCAATAACAACAATCACTTTCCAGAGGAAGGCGCTGTTAGCCACAATGGGCAACAACCAGAACGCAGCAGAACCGGTCGTTTAAAAAAGAGGAAATTGATGCAGTTGGACGGTCGGTCGTCTGAGCCTCCAAAAAGTATGGTTGCTGCTGTTCACAAGGAATTAGTATTTTGCTCACCTTCCTTTTTTTCCTCATAGTCCAGAGTGTCCTGCGGAATAACTTGAATTGTATCCATTAAAAGCACATAGTCGCGAATTTGTAACAGGCTCGGATATATAAACGAGGTTCATTAGGTGCCAGTGGCTCTGTCATATGACGGAGTCGGATGAAGACCGCATCCGTCAAGTTTGGTTTTCTGACGAGGCCAACTTCCCAGTCAGCAGTGCAGTTAGCAGCCAAAACCACCGTCCCAAGGTAAGTGAACGGCCTGAGGAGCAATTCGCCCAAGAGTACTAGCTTAGTGTCAAATGCGCTCCTTGGCTTTCCCAATTGCCGCAGCTAAAGCCTGTTGGTTCGTGGAATAAAACGGGAGTCAGGTGTCAGGTGACAGGAGTCAGGTGACAGTAAATCAGGATAGCTGTTGAATCCGGGACACGCCCAAAGCTCAACATCACTCGCCGTAGTCGTGGTGAGCTTACAGTCAACTCTCGATGGTTGCAACACGACCTAGCTTCTCCTCGTGATGCACTGAAGACCAGCAATATGTTGGCCAAAACGTTTCACAAGAGGATGATTTTCCTGAGGACGAAGCACATATCGGTTTCATATCATCACGAACTGAACTTATTGGGCCCACCGCCCCTCTGTTGTGGAGCTTCGTGAAAGACAGCTTAATGTAGCTCGTGGTAATCACAGAGAAGTTCTGCGGATTGATCCTGTCATCAATATGCACGAATGTAACACATATTTGTCTTCAGCATCAATGCTTGCCTGGGGCATAGCGGAGGTCATATCGGCAACGTCACCAGTACCGTTCCTGTGCAGTACGCGTCATCACGCTGCAGGGGTGCCGTAATTGGACATGTCGTCACGCAATGGAAGCTCATAAAATCGCAAAACAGTAAAATGGTGTAAAGGCACTGGCGCTTAAAAAATGCGACACATTTGCGAAAAACGGCGATGCCCTTTGTCGGTTTGGCTACATGCTCGGGTAAAACAAAACACTCCCAACGCCATCCGGAGATGTCGTTGCTCACGATGTTCTAGTATGACTCAGTGGGACAACAGCTTCTAACGACGCCAGCGCCTTTCCTCTACGCATGTGCCGTTCCCGGAACGCTGACTGATGAGCTGAACGGAAAACCTCCGGCGCGCTGAGGCCAGAAAAACGATTTGGCAAGTCTATAACGGGATGCAGGCCAGGTTCCCACTACCCTGGAGCGCCACCAATATGAAATTCCATCGCATCCCTGGAGCCGTGCGATATAGAGAGCAGCGGGTCCGCGTCACGGCGTGAGACAGGCGCGGCCCGTACCCACTGGAGCGGTCGCCGGCGGCTCTGGCGTACTCGGCGCCCAATTGGGGCAGCCGTAGACGGGGGCGGACTGAGACTTCGGGCGGAGGTCTGACGTCACCGACGCTTAACCCCAGGGTGGTGGATATAAGCGTGATGGTCACAGCCGTTTCGAAATGCGTTGAAGCGGGGCGGACTACCCGCGCATTTTTACCGCCGTGGAAGTCCAGCTCAGTCGTCCTCGGATGATTGCAAAGTCTATAGACAGCGAGGAAGTGCTGTGCTCCTGCAGCTGACGAAAATGCCCCATTCAGTCTGGGAAAGCAGTTCGTTGGATGTGGGCTGCATACGATCCGCCGGCCAACTTTTGCGCCGACGGCCCTCCGCTGCACTAAAGGTCAAAGCCAGTCGCCCGGAACACTCCGACAGAGCTAGTTCCAGTCAGCGGCGGCAGTCAGGAGGCGCCAGTTATTGGCGTCGGAGGCAGAGCAGCACATTACTCGCCACTGAAAACTTCCATGGGAAGCCAGCCGTTTATCGGAATAACTGGAATGTCAGGTGCAAGGAGGGACATACAATAACCCAGAACTCCGTTCCAAAAGTCAGTCGTCAAAAACGTCACAGGGGACCATACAGATATTTGTTAAGATTTTAATAAGTCCTGCTCCATACCGGAAAACTGTAGACACCTTGCACATGATCTAAAAGAATGAAGTGAACAAAATCTAGAAAGCAGAAAGCATGAAAGTATCGGAAGCTTAAGTATACCAGAAAGCACTGGTTAAACACCGATGCTGTATATATATATATATATATATATATATATATATATATATATATATATATATATACATATATGCGTGTGTACATATGTGCACATATATATACCTATGCATATACATATATATATATATATATATATATATATATATATAAATATACGAGACAACTTTACATTTCAAGGCAGTACTTATGGTCCATAACTAATGATGTATGTTTATCAAAACGAATTCAAACAAAAGGCTCGATTCAACGAAAACGGCCACGAATGACTATGCACTCCGCCTCAAAACATCGAGTTCCGTTTCATTACGCTGATATCAATGTTTACTTGAAAGCGTCGTTTGACTGATGCCTCTTGGTATGTTGAGCGCGATTTTTTCAACACGCAACTCATTAACTCATCAAACAGCAGATGGAAGTTTCTGTCCGCATTGAGTGCATTTATCGGTAAGATTTTGGTGATGGAAGGCTTCATTCCACGAAAATTCTCACAAATTACGGTAAACATGCATTTAGCTGCGCAGCTATGATGCCAGTTCACGTTCTGAGTCCACAGCCCAAATGACGTCACACTGCGCACCTTGAGCGTTTGCTTCCGGTCTTGTCCGAAAGCTACCCCGTCAATGCCGTGCTGAATTACATGCAAGAGAGGACCGATTTATGGAGCCCGTGCTTGGTCTTCGAAGTGACCTTTCGCCATTTGGCCAGCTCTTCGCGTCATAAGCGCAGAACCGACACACGGCAACATGCGTTGATTAAAAAAAACAGCACTGCCATACATCGTGCAAAATCGACTCCCCACGCCTGTAGAAATAAGGCTTAGAGTGCGACGTAAATTATGTCATTACAAACTTATGGTAAGCTGTAATCTGGCTTCGTCAACTCCCAACCTTGATAAAACTTAGTTTGTTCAACAATGAATCATTTTATCAGCGAACAGCAGCTGGTTTTGAAAACTGTTCATGAGATGACGAGCACACAAGTTAATACGCCGCCGTACAGATTGAGACTTACGTTGCATTTTCAAGCCAAATAAGCGCCACTCCTACTTCGATACATCTCCATCCGCCGTTGGAAACCAGACAGCTTACAAATAAATATCCTCTGCTGTCCCGAGGCCGTGAAGCGTTCGCTAGCGTGGCAATTCGTTACCGATTCAGGACAGGCAGCCATTTCAATGATCTAGCGGCGCGGGTTTAATACAGTGTCCGTGACATCGGTCCTGAGTTATGGCGTGGCGAACGACGCCCCACGTCGAGTCGAACAGCGGAGCCGACAGGTCGACAGGCGACTCGAGTCAGAGTCAGAGTCTAGATGGTGCGGCGGTCAGACGGCAGCAGTGGTTCGAGGGTGGGAGAGTGTGTTGAAGTAAGGGAGCGGTCGAGTCCTCATAAACATAGCTGGAGGAGCTGTGATGAACCCGGCGGCTGTGATGATAAATTGCTGCTGGAGGCTGATGCAGTGTTGAACTACTTACCTTCTGATCTTTTCATGCATGTCAATGGTTTTGCGATACCCAAAAGCCAAAACGAAACAACTAGCTGAGCCGATTCATTACATAACTGCGTGTGATCCCTCACCCCCCCCCCCCCCCCCCCACCCACCCCCTCCTCCCACCGCCAACAGCCGTTTGAGATCAACAGCTTCCCTCCTATGTCCCTTTCCCGCCAGCCGGCGCACCTTTTTGCTGAGCCCCTTCTTGCGTCGCGTGATGAGCAGCATGTCGTCGAACAGGATGACATGCATGTCGATTGGCTTGCCGGCGTCGGCCAGCTGCAGCGGCCCCTCCATGATGATCTGGCGGCGCGGGCTGACGATGAGGCGTTCGCACGGCTGCCGGGCCAGCGCCGGCCGCAGGAACTCGGGGATGTATGCCTTCGGGTCCATCTCCATCACCGACGGCCACACCAGGTTGCGCTGGATCTCCAGCAGGCGCTCGAAGTTCTTCAGCCACTTCATCTTGTCGTCAAGCTCGCCTGCAGACCGGCCGAGAGTCGGTGGAGGGGCTACTGAGAGCTGGAGGCGGGAGGCGACGTGGGAGGAGGGGGAGACCCGTGAGCCGAGCAGGGTGGCGGGGCAGCGAAGCGCGACAGCTCGAAAGATCGCAGAGGCCGTGAGGGAACCCCTCCGAGCTGTGGGAGTAGGGGATGGGTGGGAAGGCAGTGACGCATCAAACACGTTAGTGGTGTTTTTTAGGCACGTACAGACGGAGAAGTGGCACACTATGCAAAAACAATGATCAAACAACTTTTGCTATCTCTTTGCCATAAAACAGCCGTACATCAAAAACAAAACAGTGTGCGACGCACCAGACGTGAAGCTAACACCTGGCGCGAGAGTGGCACGACCATTGGCCAGACATCGCTGATGGCGCGGAAAATTCTCAACCTATTACTCCGCGGGGGACGGCAATGGAGAAGGAAGGGGTGAGCGTTGGCGGCTGGTCCTACATGGGCTTTGCTGTTGTAAACTGCCGCCGATATTGGCGGTCCACTGACGAGTTAATCCACCACACATCAGCACACGGGCATTCCGCGACCACGGGATTCTACGTCCTGATGGCTTTCGCTGGCCATCTCTCTGATCTCTGCGAACGCTATAGGAGAGCCGGGCACAAGCGCAAAGACGACCCCAGTGAATAGCACCGCGGCAGGCGCACTGTGACCGCAGCACCGCTACCAGGAATGTCCTGCAGCAGCGGGCACACCCTCAGAAGCTACACGGTGCGGGCACCGTTCACACCGTTCCAGAGGCTCCAAACCGCACCAACGAGTGCCGTCACATTCCGTGCGCGTAACAGAAGGCCCCTCGCGGGGCAGGAGCGACGGCACAGCAGCTGTGCTGAGATTATAGGAGGGAAGGCGCCACGGCCGGCGGCCATGCCCCATTGTCTCCACACACCGCCGCCGGCCCAGGCTGGTGTTATCAGCGCAGAGAGCGCCGTCGCCCTGCCTCGGAAGCTAATCACCGCCGCAGCGGACTGATGGCGCGGGACTGAGCGGCGCCGCCGCCCGCCGGCGCGGCGGCGTCATCACTCACGCAGCGAGTTCTCCTCGGTCTCGATGATGGTGCTGATGATCTGGCGGTCGGCGGCGCTCTCCGTCTTGGCCTGGATGTCACGCAGCATGAGCGGCACCTTTCATGCTGTGCTGCACCGGCGCCACCAGTAGGTCTGTCAGCTGCAGCTTCTTGCAGCGTGGGTCCCGGTTACACCACTGAGAAGATGAGGGGGCATGTGACAACACACCCAGGGAGGAGAGAGAGAGAGAGAGAGAGAAGATAATAGAGAGAAGATAGAGAGAGAGAGAGAGAGGAGAGAGAGAGAGAGAGAGAGGAGAGAGAGAGAGCGAGAGGAGAGAGTAGAGAGAGAGAGAGAGAGAGAGAGAGGAGAGAGAGAGACGAGAGAGAGGAGAGAGATAGAGAGAGAGAGGAGAAAGGAGAGAGAAGAGAGAGAGAGAGAGAGAGAGAGAGAGAGGAGAGAGAGAGAGGATAAGAGAGAGAGAGAGAGAGAGAGAGAGAGAGAGAGAGAGAGAGAGAGAGAGAGAGAGAGAGAGAGAGAGAGAGAGAGAGAGAGAGAGAGAGAGAGAGAAGAGAGAGAGAGAGAGAGAGAGAGAGAGAGAGAGAGATAGAGAGAGAGAGAGAGAGAGAGAGAGAAGAGAGAGAGAGAGAGAGAGAGAGAGAGAGAGAGAGAGAGAGAGAGAGAGAGAGAGAGAGAGAGAGAGAGAGAGAGAGAGAGAGAGAGAGAGAGAGAGAGAGAGAGAGAGAGAGAAGAGAGGAGAGAGAGAGAGAGAGAGAGAGAGATGAGAGAGAGAGAGACGAGAGAGAGAGAGAGAGAGAGAGAGAGAGAGAGAGAGAGAGAGAGAGAGAGAAGAGAGGAGAGAGAGAGAGAGAGAGAGAGAGAGAGAGAGAGAGAGAGAGAGAGAGAGAGAGAGAGAGAGAGAGAGAGAGAGAGAGAGAGAGAGAGAGAGAGAGAGAGAGAGAGACTATGGAAGTCTGACTCCAGGACGTCATTACGATTCATTTCGAGGGAAGCCATTCAATCCAATATGACTTTGATACCCCTGGGACGGACGACAGAACCCTCGGAAGATCTATGTAGCAGCTTTCTCCAGACGGGCAAATGAATACCGGTTGGCAAGCGCGGCTGATGAATAGGCGCCTACAACGTTCTTGGCAACATTCGGTAGATAAGACATTGCTGCGAACCAGGCTTTGATTGGCAAGTTGATCCGTCCATAATGATAGATCCCATCCATCTCAGATAGATAGAAAAATAGGTAGATTCACCACATTGACGTCAACCGGGGCCGATACAAGGCACCAAGGTCTTCGTCGGAGACGTAAAGCCTAGTGAAATGGCTGGAATATTAACGTATTGTGCATAATTTCTCCATTCATGCGCCTTGAAGCCCGCCGCTGTGCCACTGATACCCTCGAACAGAAAGCGTCATCACGGTGCACTCGAAAGCTCCCTGAGGCGAGTTTTCGGCAGCAGTGGACGAAACCTTAAGACGTAAGAGCTATTACTGCGATGGCGTTTCAGTAACACGATCTAAGAATATGCTTTTAAACCTTGCAGAGCCAGCTGAAATATTGCTTTTGAGACGTTTTCACTTTTGCAACGTTACCTGGACCGGTGAATCGTGTTATCGCTCTATAAACGGTGTCCACAGTATCTTCTCTCCTACTCGAAAATTCGCCCCAACTTTGCCCGATAAGGTCGGCGTTCTTTGAGCTACGGATGGTAAGAATGATTTTGCAAGTGTCATTTCCCTCTCCCTGCTCCCTTAATTTGTCCGACAGAAGGGCAAGATGAATGTTAAGACAAAACAGACGCAGAGAGGTGACGGATAAAGCTGTTGTGGACGTCCTAAATTATGTGATACGAGTTAGTAGTTTGGAAATATCATGGACTTGATTCCACATGTGGGCCAGATTTTATCAATCACAAATTTTTGATTTTGCAACTGCGACAGTTGTTGTGGGAACTGGTAGGTTGAAACATACCAGAACTTATGAATATCAATATTGATTGAATATCCCATGAATATTAAGGTAAGCGAATTTCGCAAACAAATGGACACGGGATCGAGTTTAAAACCACATTCTGCAATAACGTGGATGATATTTCATTCCATTACAAAGACAACAAAAACCTCACCTTCTCAAACTCGCAGAAGTCATTGTGACGGCGAAGCGTTTCCAGGTAGTTGAGAGCGTTGATATAGTTGAGCGCATAACGGTGATAGGACTGACTTAAACACGACGACTTGTTATTCTGGAACAACGAACACATCTCGCAGATTGCCGGTGACGAATATAGCACACATTGTCAGCAAGCTGACACGCCGCACCCAGCGCCAGCATAAGCTACACATAAAATCACTGCAAGTGCAAATAAACCTGACTGCAATCCAGCGAGTCAATAGGCGAAAGGGTACTTCGGACGTGCGTGGTGAGTGGTCGTGGGTAATTCCTCGTTCTACAACATCATGAAACAGGCATAAATTTGACTTTCTGCCTGGGATGCAGCCGTTTGTCTTCGTTCATTCCTCCGTGCACACGGAAAAGTTCGTCTAAAGTGGCAAATGCTATAGGAGATGGCGGCATCGGTCAATCAAATCAATGCAAAACGACCGCTCAAGTCGCGCAAAGCGACCGGAAATCCCAAATCCCAGAGCTGTTTGTACAAATCTGACTTCTGCACGATGCAGACTGTATGAGGAGCTTCACCCGTGGTCTGCTAATGCACTGGCTGATATATGATGTGCGTGTCTGGCATCACGGACCTGTACACATACGTAACGGCAAGGTAATGGATATAAGTAATGGGAAGCAGGGTCCGGCCAACACGACTGGCGAAGCCACTCACTGATGAGAATGGCTGATTCGATGTGATTTGGTACTATATATATATATATATATATATATATATATATACATATAGCTACGTCCAACAAAAAACTAATTCACCTCACCAAATTATCTAAGGCAGCAAAATGAATGAACGAAACAAAACAAAATGGTTACTAACCAGATAGAGTGCGCCTGGAGAATGATCCATTTACTAAACTACGGCAATTTAAACAGACTTCAAACGCATAAAAAGCCGCGGGCTGTCTATGAGCACGCATTTCAGACGGTGTGTTCACATACCTTGATAAACAGCTTAGACAGTATACCTGTCAGCGATACGGAGTCTTCTCCCCTACACAAACTCAGCAGGGTCTTGATGAAGTCTTTGCAAAATGCGTACGTAACCTGAAGAGAAAACATGTGCTATTAGCTATGCTTTATGATGTTCGTAAGCATGTAAAGCATGTAAAGCATGTAAGAAAGAAAACATGTGATATTAGCTGTGCTATATGATGTTCGTAAGCACGGAAACTACCAGTTAGGTGTAGGTAGGCACGTATCAGAACGTTGCAAGAACACCTAGTCGACGAAAACCCTCACAAAACTATCGACTTCAGATATTATGTTGCAGTATGCGGAAGTAATGTCCGAACATGACATACTGAGTTATGCGAAGTAAGGGAAACAAAGTTAAAAATGCGCAGCAGTTCGGTTAAATCTAAACTTCTTTGCAAAGTATATGCGGCCTTGGTCGTCTCAGCTTACGGGCATCATCTTGATTTACCCAGCCCACTGCTTGCATTCTGTTAATCGAGAAATTCATCAAGTTGTCTAAAAATTCTACTCCTGACGAAACATTTTATCCACGATACATGGGATAAGCCTACCAACAGCAACGTTATTTTGGTTTTCCTTCAACCAGCAGAATATCTCTATCATAAAGAACACATTTTATGCCTCAAGTAAATCTCGAACAACTAGAATATTGTGGAGTTTGCGCTATTCTTTCAGCCGTAACGCCGTGGACCAACCACCTCTGTCATAATTGAAGGCATAACTGCATCCTCGTCTTCCGCGGGTTCAAAGCTCGAGCCCAAATTTAGCAGAGTTACCACAGCACGACGCGTAAGGCTGGGAAAAAGGAATATGCTAGATGAATCAGTATTCGTTGCAGTTTTCTACACTTAAAGCACGATGACGATGTGTTGGCGGGCCTTCCCTATGGGCTGGACCGCGTCGTGTTAATCGAAATACGCCACAGGCACCAACTGTGAGCGCAGCACAAGTGGTGATCCAAGTGGTGATTGGGGTGCCGTCTGGGTATGACATATCCGATAAACCGAAAAACAGAGTAAATGCCGTCGGCTAGATGAAAATTCCGACAGCCCAAACAGTCCTAAGCTGCCCATAGCGGCAACGACGAAAATGCTATACTTTGAACGACTACGGCGTTTCGTGACAGCGTGCGGCTGGCGAAGAGGCCGCCTGTAATAGATCTTGCCGTTCGAGCTCGCAGCTGTCACGCGAGTCGACACTTGTGGGGGCAACACGTGGGAGACGTTCAGCCCCACAATTCGCGTCGCTGAGCACACTTCGCTCTACGATCCGGGGCTTACCCCAGCTGCATTCGCCACTGTAGCTCTGTTTGAGGTAAAGGATCTGGTGGGTCGGCCAAGCGAACGTAAGCCATTGCTTAGGACGGATGGGGATAGCGCGAAGTAAATGTTTTATCATTTACCACCCCAAGCCGGCAAATTGTTCGGCGATGAATGATCCGGCGTCCATTCCCAGAGGTCTTTGATCCATTTTGATGCAGAAGCGCCACACTTGGCAGGATCAGGAAGGCTTTAGTACACGCGTTTTGGTGCTAGTCCGAAAACATGCCTGCGCCTTGGTACCATCAGCATGGTGAAAACATTCTAGTCTTACATCCTCGCTCATACCACAGCGCACCAGATATGTTGCCGGCTATTAGGCACGTTTGGCCTCGGGAACATTCACCAGCTTCGCCACCCTCTTGACCGGATTTAAAATAGCTGTTTTCAACTGCTGTCTCATCTCTCCGCATGGAGAAAGGAATTTCATCACGAACAACCCAGCTCATCTCCATCACGTCATAACAAGATGAGCCTGGTGCCTTTAAAAAGCGTCTTTGTCAGAACCATTCCCCAGCAAGGCGAAACAGCTCAAGACGACAACATCTGCTACATCAGGATTCAGAACCTCACAAATAATGCAAGATCAGTATGATTCTCGTGTTATAACCGGTGGTTTCTACACCATAACAGGCTATGCCACTCCTTTGTGCATCAAACCAAAGGAGAGAATTTACACAGCTACTTGAGTCAACGTCCATTTCAGATCTTCGCCTGACTTAAATTGTCACCATTTAAAAATTTGTGGTCGATTATGACAGCATTGCACGATGCTCATCATAATGGATATTTAGACTGCACCAAGTCGCAGCATTTCCGCTTCGTTTCGTCCATGATGTGAGAAAAATCTAGTGGCAATGTCGCACTGTCAGCTGCTACATTAAAGCATAACACCAGCATCTGCGACAACGGGTGCTTTTTATATCAAACATCAGTGTCGGGATCCTATACCACATGCATACGCGTAGCAAGAATGTGAGCCTGCGGCGGGTGCGTACAATCTCGGCAAAAATAAAGTCTCCTCGCGCTCCAGTGTGCCGTATTTCTCGCACCTCAAGCCTGAAACCTTAGACTGTAACGCAGCACAAGGGTGCTATGCGGAACAGTCCTGATCCCGGCGCATGCGCGCGGCAGCAGAGGTCGGAGGGGTGGAGTGATTGGTGGCCGGCCCATTCGTTCGACGGGGCACAACGTCCTAGCAATTTGATCGGATAAAGTTATGGAATCAACGCCCAGGCATGTGGTGCTTGTTGCGTGAGCCCGCTAACCATCATTTGATCGTGGAACTGTGGGTCAGCTATATTATCTTACGGCAAAAGCTTAGCGTGCCGCAACGCATGGTACTTCCCGTCCTAGCCTGAGGATAGGACCCTCTGTCGACACCTGAGCTTTCCGCACCCGCCGCTACCAGCCACCTTCGCTGTCAGCCAAAACCAAATAATGAGCGCACGAAATGAGTCGAATCTTCACCGCAGGTAGGTGCATCGGAATGCAGGCGCTCCAACCAACTGAGCTGTTGAGACGAAATACAGAAGAGAATGAAGGCAATATTAATCATTTTGCGGGCGATTTTCAGCATTTGGAGAAAAACAGTCGCATCACAGCATAACACATTGACGTATTTTGTGTAAAGACCAAAACATCGTAACAAAATTAGATTGCCATTTTTATGCTCAGAACTGTGTCTGACTTCTACGTGAGAAGGGTAATCAGATCATAAGCCTGAGATATTGGAATGCATGTTTTGCTACAAAAAACCTTGGTAGCATTAAGTCCTACACTGGCACAACCAGTCATGTATTTTAGTTAGCTGTAGCCTCATATTCAGATTCACCTCACCTATTACACGCTTGAACGCGCCAGAGATGTTTCTTTGTGCTTTAATTTAGATCACATGGCTTTGTCCGTGTTGTCGTGCCCCGACAAAATCGGTCCAGTATATTCACAAACCTTCGTGTAGTGGTCTAACCGTCATTTCCAAATGGAAGGCAGACACAATTATCAACATGAAAATGGATAATATGCTTTTGTGCTTTGTTGTCCCTATTCTAGAGTGCCATTTTGTTGTTTCGGAAATGTCAATGTTTTCCCTCAAATGCCGAAAATTATCCGCCGATCCCCTAAATGGCCGCGGCTTTAAGTCCCTCAAATTCATTCAATCCAAAGGCTAGGAGTACATCTTAATAAAATATCAATACCGCAACCGATTTTCGTTTTTATCTCGTAAATCGTGCCACATCAAGACCGAATGGCGATGCAAGCCCACCGCCCACTCGTCTGATACGCGAACAGAATGGACTGCAAAGCAGCACAGGCCACTTTGATTCCGGTCAAGTTTCGCTTCCACCCCGTCGGACGAATGGGCCGGCCATCAATCATTCCACCCCTCTGACCTGTCTGCTGCCGAGGGCATGCGTCGAGATCAGGTCTGTTCCGCACGGCAGCTTTGCGTTGTGGTACGGTATAAGGTTCCAGGGTTGATCCGGGAGAAATAAGGCACACTGGAGCGCGAAAGAAACCTTGGTGTGATTGTACATCTCGTGGACTAAAATATTCGACTTACAACCGACCTAGCATTTACAGGAGCAGACGCCAAATCGGGTAGTATGTTGTCAGCATGGACAGAACCACGTTTAATTTTCATTTTAGAGTCTTTCATTTGTTGTTGAAAGTTAAGCGTCCGTCTTTCTTCCAAAATAACAGTGGCCTAATTGAACATGAAGGTCTCTGTTCATCTCATCACATTGAGACACTCACAACTTTTGCAAAGCTTTATCACCATTGTATCGCGCAGTTGACCTGACACGGTTCTGGCACCTGAGAACACAGTACGTCACACACGACACGCGTTTCACACAAACAGAGGCCACGATTAGTGAACTCAGCCGAGACAGTCTAAACCAGCCAAGCGTTTCTCGTGTTCTGCTCGCTTCAATCCCCACCAGAGCGACATCCGGGGACGCGCCGTCACATCGCAGCCCTCCCCTCTCCTCAGCCGGCCGCCCCACCCCCGCCCATCGCCGCCGTCGCGTCGTCTTCGGCGGCGGAAGCGGGCCCGATTGGCGCGCTCCCACGCTAACGACCCGCCCTGATCGCCGCAGCGGCCGTCGCCCTCTTCCGGAGCGCCCACCTGGAAGCGATCGCCCTGATTTTCGCGCGAGCTTTCGACGTCCGATCTGCGGGCGTCGCGACGAGGAGCGGCGCGCTGGCACGCGCTGCAGTGACGGCGCTTGGTCGCTCCACAGGGCAGCACCCACTGATCAACAGCCGACCTCACCCAGGCACTCTGCTAGTCGGACCCGCAGGCGGGCCTCCAACTGGGCAGCTCGAATCAGCGGGCGCACCGAGACGGCAGACGGGCGATCAGCAGGCCTGTATGCGGAGAGGATGAGGTGCCGGGAGCGACTGTGTATGAGGCGTCGCCAGGGTCAAGGACATCTTGATGGTGGCAAGCCTCCCTTCTATCTTGAAAGGTTGCTTCTAGGGGCAATACGAAGGAAGCAGGATATTACGTGGGCGAGTACGCTGACACTAACTGTCCCTTAACGGCAACTAGAAACAAAGGTTCTACAAAGGACAAAATCCTGTCCCATTGTGCCATACTGCACGTGTTGGATAGTTGATAGCTGGGAGGATGCCGCGACCAACCGTATATTGGATATTTCCGAGAGCAATAAGAATAACCTGGTCAACGCAAGACCGCCTGACATCCCGAGGGAGGCGACCATTTTAAGTGCAATAGAAATGGAA